ACCTACTAACCTCATCCCGCCCCCTGGACTGACCTATCTCCTCCCTACCTCCCCACCTACACTCACCTTTTTACTAGCTCCATCCCCGCCTCTTTGACCAGTCTGTCTCCTCTCCACCTATCTTCTCCTCTGTCCGCCTCCCCCTCTCTCCCTATTTATTTCAGAACCCCCTTCCCCTCCCCCATTTCTGAAGAAGGGTCCAGGCCCGAAATGTCAGCCTTTCTGCTCCTCTGATGCTGCTTGGCCTGCTGTGTTCATCCAGCTCTACACCTTGTTGTCTCTGATCCAGAATTATCTCAGCTTTAAATATACACACAGATTCTGCCGCCATAGCTCTCTGCAGCAAGGAATTACAAAGAGAGACCACCTTCTGAGCAAAGAAATTCCTCCTTGTCTCACTTGTAAATTGAGATCTGTTTATTCTGAGACTATGCCCTGTTGTCTCTCCCATGAGGGGAAACATTCTCTCAGCATTTACCCTCTCGAGCCCCTTACGAATTGTGTATTTCTCAATGAGCTCACTTCTCATGTTTCTAAATTCTAGTGAATAGAGTCCCAACCTGTTTAGTTTCTGTTCATGAGTCAGTCTTTCCACACCAGGGATCATCTTAGTGGATCTTCTTTGAACTGCCACTAATGAAATTATATCTTTCCTAAAATAAGGGGACCAAAACTGCCCACAGTACTCCAGGTGTGGTCGCGACAGCACCTTGTACAGTTGCAGTGAGACATCCTTACTGGTACACTCCAACCCCCTTGAAATAAGGGCCAACATTCCATTACCCTTCCTGATTTGCCTTCTACCTGTGTGCTAGCTTTGTGTTTCATGCACAAGTCCCCCCAAGTCGCTTTGTGTGCAGCTTTCTGCAGTTCGTTTCCATTTAAATAATCTATTCTTTTGTTCTACCTTCCAAAATGAACAACTTTATTTTCCCTCATTATACTCCATTTGCTGACATTTTTCCCACTTACTCAACCTATCAATCTCTCCGTAAACTGTGTACTCCATTGCGACCTTTCTACCTATTTTTGTGCTGTCTAAATTTGACTACGGTACTTTCACTTCCTTCCTCCAAGTCATTAATATGTTGTGGTCCCAGTACTGAACCCTGAGGAACTCACTAGTCACAGTTTGCCAACCTGAAATGGAACCCCTTGCTGTTTCCTGCCCATTAGCCAATTCTCTATCCATACTAATATACTATCTCCAACACTGTGGGCTCTTAGGTCATAACCTTTTGTGAAGTGACTGGTTGAACACCTCTGGAAGTGCAAATACAATGCATCTGCTGGTTCCCCTCTATTCACTCTGATTGAGACTCTCAAACTCTTGACATGATTTCCCTTTCATGAAGCTATGCTTGATTAGATTATGAACTTTCAAATGTTCTGCTATTACTTCCTTAATTGATTCCAACAGTTTTTCAACAATAGATGTTGGGCTAATAGGCTACAGTTACCTGCTTTTTGCCTCCTTTCCATTTTAAAAAGGGGTGTCACAATGGCAGTCTTCCAATCATCTGGAATCCCAGGAATTTTGGGAAATTACAATCAACCATTGCATCCGTTCATCTCCAGGGTCAGTGGGGGACACAGCCAGCATTTTCTGGAAATAATCAGTCAACAAGTAACGTTAATGAGAAACCAGTGCTAGCATATTAAAGCAACAGGCTCTAACCTATACCCCTTCTTCCCAATCTGAGCTAAATAAGTTCAACAGCAGAAAGCATCAGGTCTCATGGGGTAGCACACTGGGAATCAAACCTGCTATTCGTAGAGTTGTCTCAAAAGTTCATTTTTTCATAAGTATGCAAAATTCCCCAGTCGACCAGTTGGGTACACTTGTGTTAACAGAAAACACAGACCAGGTTTCTGCACTTAACAAGAAAACCTATGGCTAAATAGTCAATCAAAAACGGTTGCCATCTAACTACGAGTTACAACTTTATCCCCCTTTTTGAAAACACATACAGACCCACACACTTCTTTTATATAAAAAAAAAATTGGTGTTATTGGGTGGAAGGAAGAAAATACTGGTGAACAGGTCAATTTCACCAGTCCTCTGGATTCAATTGAGTGTTCCTTTTGTTTCCTTAGTCCTCCAGTTCTCTGATCACTTCCTTTAAATTCTTCCACATCTTCACAGGAGGCACAGAGTGACTGGTTCACAGATTATAAAGCTTCTGATTTATCAGTTAAAAAGAACAGCTTACAGCAACTGGTGAGAGAAAACAACTCATTTTCATCAGGGATAACAAGGTGTAGAGCTGGATGGACACAGCAGGCCAAGCAGCATCAGAGGAGCAGGAAGGCTGA